CATGGTGAGGCCACACCTCAAATACTTTGTTCGGTTTTTGTGCCCCTCACTACAAGAAAGACATTGACTTGCTGGAGTGTGTCCAGAGAAGGAAAACAAAGCTGGTGAAGGGTTTAGAGCACAAGTTTTATGAGGAACGGCTGAGGGAGCTGGGGTTGTTTAGTCTGGAGAAGAGGAGACTGAGAGGACACCTTATTGCCCTCTACAACTACCTGAAAGGAGAGGGTAGCGAGGTGGGGGTTGGTCTCTTCTCTGTGTAGCTAGTGATGGGACAAGGAGAAATAGCCTCAAGTTGCACCAGGGGAGGTTTAGGTTGGATATGAGGAGGAGTTTCTTTACTGTAAGGGTTGTCAAGCACTGGAACAGGCTGCCCAGGGAGATGGTTGAGTCATCATTCCTAAAGGTGTTTAAAAGACAAGTAGGTGTCGTGCTCAGTCTAGTGGCAGACTTAGGGCTGGTTTGATGGTTGAACTAGATGATCTTGAAGGTCTTTTCCAACTGAAAACATTCTATGATTCTGTGATTAGCCAGAGCAAGACAGAAGGGAAATGGGGGTGCAGCACATCTGAAATACACAGCCAAGCCCTAGGGAAAGGGTTCACCCAAGCAGGGGGGTTCACCCAAGCAGGGGAACAGAACTGGCAACAAGCTTCTGGGTGTTAATTGCTCTCTGTGCTCACAGCTGCAGAGACAGCTGATGTTCTGCAGGAAGCCTGGGTCTGCCTCATCGATGTCCACATCTGTAACAGCAGCCAGTGGTACAGAGGGGCCATCCACAGCCACAACTTGTGTGCTGGCTACCAGTGAGGTGGCATCGACACCTGCCAGGTAGGACGTGCTATGAGCCAAGCCCAGCAGCACAGGCAACCCTGGCACGACTGTCCAAACACACCCTGGCACCTGCTTTGCCTGGCAAGACCCAGTCCCATGCTGGGTGTCCACTACTGTTGGGCCTCACCTCCCCTTTCTCACCTGCAGGTCCCATCACCCCCTCCCAAACATGACTCTGCAGGCTCCAGTGCCTCTGTGCAGTGAATGCAGCTCAGGCAGGGCCGTGAGAGAGGAGCCAGCCATATGGCTGACAGGGGCCACCCAACACCACCTGAATCCTCTCTCCTCTGCTGTAGGGTGACAGTGGTGGTCCTCTTGTCTGCAAAGATAGGAATGCTGGCTGTTTCTGGCTTGTTGGAGTGACCAGCTGGGGGACAGGCTGTGCGAGAGCAAAGCAGCCTGGAGTCTACACCTCCACTCAGCACTTTTATGACTGGATCCTGGTACACATGGTACTGCACCCAGCAGTAAGGGCTTCTGCGCTGCCACGGGTGTGGAGTCATTTTATGACCACCTCAGCCCCTGCTCAGAGGCCAAAACCAACACAACCTGTCAAGGTTACATCCTGCCCATATCCACTCCAGAAGCTGGTGTAATTCTTTACTTGGGTGCAGGAGCTCCTTCAGGTCCTAAAGGGAGGAAAGGCTTGAGCAGCAGGACAAACAGGATCAGCACAGGCTGCAGTGGACCACCACCATTTCCTTCTGGGGCAATGCCTACTGATCTAAAGGCAGCCTCAGTGTCAAAGGCTTGCTCTATCCTGCCACGCTCCTCTTGAGTGTGCACAACTACTGAGGTTGACTTAGTTCTTGAACTAAATTTGCCTGTTTTCACAGCTAACCATGCTTTGGTCCAGTTCAGTCTCCTGTGCAAGGCAAGAACTTCCAATGCCAGCACCTGCACAGTCTCATGTCTGTTGTTGTCAGAAAGAAAAAGTACAAGTGCAACTGTAATTAAAATGGTGGTTTTCCAGGTCCTTTAGGTTTTACAGCTACTGAGGGGATTTTCATTGAAGAACTCGCTAGACTTTCATCATCTTGAAGGGTTTATCTTCCATGTGTTTGGAGTCAGTGTGAGTGGGATTTCACAATTATGTCTGTATTTCATAGATTTTTCATTCTTACTGTGGTTAGCTGTAGTGGAGATTTGGTTCTCCTTCCTCTTTGCTGTCTCTTCTGTAGAGCTTTGTTGTACCATTTCTTCCGTGCTTTGTCACTTTGGTCTTTTCATACACTAGGAATATTTTCCAGGCAGTTCTGGATTAGGTAATACTGATTTAATCCTGACACTGTTGGAAATGGCCACCTTGTTTAGAGAGACTATTTGATCATAAAGCTGCAGAACAGAAATATGCACATATTATTTCTTATAAAAGAAGACAATGTCTTCACAGAGCTCTTTTCTTAACATGTGTACATACTTCAAATATTAGGTTTTCTAAACTATGAACAGGTGGTCCCCTGTGCCCAGGTGTCCTTCAGCTGGAGCACCACGGTGTCTGTGCCTATGGAGGACCCCACACCACACAGGTGGATGTCAAGGGAAGCAAATGAAAAAGACCAGCAAACTGGTAACAACAGATGAGAAGGTTGAGGTACTCGACAACTTTTTTCCCTCAGTCTTCACTGGCAACCTCTCTTCTCACACCTCTTGAGTGGGTGGACCACAAGATGAGTTTGAGTCACCGAGGTGAAGAGCGCCAGAGCGGAGGACCACGCTGGGGGACCTTGCTGAAGTGACAAAAGCGGCTTAACCGCAGGCAAAACAAAAACCAAGTGTGAAGGCAAAAAGTGCAGGGAGAGAGCGGGTGCCTCAGCCCCCCCACCCAAGAGAGAGAAACATGAGCTCCTGATGGTGGTCAGCACTGACTTGCCGTGGGCAGGGACAAGAGTGACCGCAGCAGTTTAAAACCCAATGTACCACCGTTTCTTTGGCAGTCACCGAGGTGAAGAGCTCCAGAGTGGAGGACAATGCCAGGGGACCTTGCTGAAGTGTCAAAAGCAGCTTAACAACGGGAAAAACAAAAACCAAGCGTGAAGGCAAAAAGCGCAGGGAGAGAGGGTGCCTCAGCCCCCCATCTCAGAGAGGGAAATGTGAGCTCCTGATGGCGGTCAGCACTGACTTACTGTGGGCGGGGACAAGATGGCGGTTAATCCCCTGAGGTAGAAAAGCAGCCCCCAGGGAGCGCAAGTAACCCGGACCGGCAAACAGAGCGTGGCATGTCAGTCGGCGCAGCAGTACACACAGGCAGAGCGCTGAGGTTCAGCCAGATCAGCCGGTCCGCAATGGTTACCACCAGGCAGAGACCCATGGCCTCCCACAGCCATGCACCCACCAAGGCAGATGCAGCTTGCCAGACAGAGCAATGGTGGGAGCATCCTGCCACTCAGGTGTTGAGCTGCAGGGTGTGCCCTGCTCTTAGGCTGATGTCTGATGGCAGCAGTAAGCATGCCTGTGGGAGGTGTGCCCAAGTAAAGGAGCTCCTCCGCATAGTGGTGGAGCTCAGGGAGGAGGTAAGTAGGCTGAGAATGTTCAGAGAGTGTGAGGAGGAGATAGGCCATTGGAGCCGTACCCTCCCTTCCCTGAATCAGGCCCAATGGGTAGAAGAAACTCATGAGAGTGAGGCACAGGCCTCCCTAGCCTCTCTACGCAAGGCTGACCATAGCAAATGGGATGACTTGGAGGACAGGGACCAACAAGAATGGAAACACGTTTCTTCCCAGCGCAACAGGCATGGCAGGCGTGTCCTCCCCCCAGTAACTGCTCCACCTTCCCAGGTGCCCTTGCAAAACAGGTATGATGTTCTGCAAGGGGAACCAAAGACCAGGAAGGCAACTCGCCTAGTTTGGAGGCACCGCCAAGGCTCAATCAGAGGAAGACATGCATAAAAACATCTTCAAGTAAAAAAGACAGACGGGTCCTTGTCATAGGGGTCTCACTTCTGAAGGGAGTGGAAGGTCCTATCTGTAGATGAGACCTACTCCTCAGGGAAGTCTGCTGTCTCTCAGGAGCCAGGGTTAAGGACATTCAAAAAAAACTCCCTATCCTAGTTAAACCCTCTAACTACTATCCATTGTTGGTCTTTCAGGTGGGCAGTGATGAGATTACAATTAGTTTGAGAGCAATGAAAAGGGATTTCAAGGGCTTGGAACAACTGGTTAAGGGATCTGGAGTACAAATAATGTTCTCCTCTATCCCACCAGTTGCAGGGAGATCTGAGGCGATAAACAGAAAGATCCAACAAATCAATGCCTGACTCAGAGACTGGTGCCACAGGCAGGACTTTGGGTTTTTTAATCATGGATCAGTTTACACATCACCAGCTGTGCCAACAAAAGATGGGGCATGTCTATCTCAAAATGGGAAAAGGTTCCTGGGACAAGAGTTAGCAGGGCTCATAGACAGGGCTTTAAACTAGATTTGAAAGGGGGAGGGGGGAAAGGGGATAAAACACAACTCGCTAGCATGATCCTGGGGGTGGAGCGATGACATGTGTGGGATGGTGCGGTAGTGAGACTCTTCAGACTACCTTCCCAGTGGAGGAAAGGGATGGAGTTCCATGCAGCAACCAAGTTACAAGGGTCACTGACAGGTTAGTAACTGTGGAAGTCCCTGAAAATGGCTTGGCAGAAATTTGGGCTGCTCCCTGTGAAGAGGTGGCAGGGCCTTTAGCCCGACTGAAGTGTGTCTACACCAATGCATGCAGTATAGGCAATAAGCAAGAGGAACTAGAAGCTATTGTGCATCGGAATAACTACAATGTAGTAGCTATAACGGAAACATGGTGGAATGAATCACACAACTGTAGTGCTGCCATTGATGGGTATAAGCTTTTCAGAAGGGATAGGCAAGGAAGGAAAGGTGGGGAGGTTAGCCATGTATGTTAGGGAATGCTATGACTGCCTAGAGATTAGCAATTGTGACAACAGGGTTGAGTGCCTATGGGTAAGAATCAAGGGGAAGGCCAACAAGTCAGATATCATGGTGTGAGTTTGCTATAGACCACCTAACCAGGATGAAGAAATAGACAAAATGTTCCATAGGCAGCTGGGAGAAGCTTCGTGATTGCTTCCCTTTGTTCTTGTAGGGGACTTCAACTACCTGGATATCTACTGGAAATATAACACAGCAGAGAGGGAACAGTCCTGGAGGTTCCTGGAGTGTGTGGAAGATAACTTCCTGACACAGCTGGTGGAGGAGCCAACAAGGGAAGGTGCCCTGCTGGACCCACTGTTTGCAAATAGAGAAGGTCTTGTGGGGTATGTGATGGCTGGAAACTGTCTTGGGCATAGTGACCATGAAATGATAGAGTTCTCAGTCCTTGGAGAAGCAAGGAGGGAGGTTAGCAGAACTGTCACTTTGGACTTCTGGCAGGCAGACTTTGGCCTGTTTAGGGACTTGGTTGGCAGAGTTCCTTGGGAGGCAGTTCTGAAAGGCAAAGGAGTCCAGGAAGGCTGGACACTCTTCAAGAAGGAACTCTTAAAGGCGCAGGAACAGGCCGTCCCCGTGTGTCGGAAAAATAGCCAGCGGGGAAGAAGACCAGCCTGGCTGAAGAGAAAGCTGTGGCTGGAGCTCAGGAAAAAGAAGAGAGTTTATGATCTTTGGAAGAAGGGGCAGGCATCACAGGAGGACTACAGGGCTACCATAAGGCTGCGCAGGGAGAAAATTAGAAGGGCTAAAGCGCA